AAAATTTCGTCGACTTGGCCGTTTTTTAGATATGACCATCGTGCCTCCGCTCAACTCGATGGTTGGGGTAAAGAGACACGGCTCGGTCTCACGACCCGTATGCACGCGCGCGCATACTTGGCGTGAGACACTACTGTGTCTCTTGATCCGGTATAATTCGAAATTCACTGATTTTAAACATAAAAACTAAATCGGTTTGAATGCAATAAAAATCCAATTTTGTCTGTGATCAGTATAACAGTAATTCGTTTTAATTTTTTTGCATACATTTGTATGAAACGCTATCGCTTCTTTTGATCCAGTATTTTACATTGTGTTGAACTTATTTGTATTTTACTGTCGTCATTTCGACTATCTATCATGTTATTGTATGCTAACATTTATAAAAAAAATATTTTCATCTTTTTAATAACTTTATTGATCTGATCTATCACGGATATGTATTCATTAATATTGAGTAGTCATGGATCATCACGAAGTGTTTGCAGTTCCTGATCACAGAAGTCAAGCAACGTTGGTGGCGGTCGTGGTTTGGATGGGTGACCGTTAGTTGAAAAAGTCCGATTAAAAAAAAGTAATCCATTTCGATTGGGATTTGTGTCCTGAAATAATATGCGTGCATTGAAATGTTGTATTAAGCCTTACATTTGTCACAAATTCGAGTTTGGTTTTGACAAATTTTTTTTGTTATTGGTTTGATTAATTCTATATTACATTTAGAATAATAAAATATATATGAAATTTTATTATTAGTTGAACTGTATAATTAATTTTGACATGATATATTCATGTATCAATCAGTAAATTTTGGATCGACCATTTTTGGTTCGACCAAAGGATTTTAATCCTTTTTGATACCGTATTTTCGGTGCAGAAATCCCGATCGATTCGGATAACTTTTTTTATAATCGGTTTTAATCGAACATTTTCGGCAGGGTGCTGGTTATATTATGATAAATGCCATCATCTTTGTATACATTAATTTCGTGCAATAGATATAACATAAGAGATAAATTAACTGACCGTCTACCTGTCTCTTCTTGTCAGCTAACCATTGCAATAATACACATATCTCAGAGGCATCAAGCATTGTTTCTAGTAATGAATCAACAGTAAATGAGTCCACATATAATAAATGATTCTAATATGCTCGTAAATAATAACGATGGTGTATTAACATTTACTATTACTATTATATGGCAACTATTATATGGCAAAGGATGATTTTAATGCTATGATAATTTCTAAAAGTTATAGACGTAGAGATAAAGGTCGTTCTGTTTCAACGTGACAATATACAGTTTTGCAACCCGGTACATGGCAGCATGTATTTACTGAAAAAATTTGGGAAAATGCAAAATTGTCTTGCGGTTTTAATTTTAAACGACATAAATTAGTTAGCAATTGTGGACTTCTCGCCGTGCGTAAGTCGCGGTTGGAGGAGACCCGCAGGAACGAGGACGTGAAACTTGGACACGGTTGAAAAGAGGAATTCGGCGATTAAACAGCACCACGTTTATTAAATTAAATGAACTCGTTACAGATAGAACAATGAAAGTGAATAATCGCGAAGGCGCGCGCGTGTGAACTCCGTCCCGAATTGCACAGAAACTTCGCGCAGATGCGACGAGGGTTTCGGAAGTCTGCCAGCTCGAGAGTGTTGATAAAACGAAAACGGAAAACAGGCGCCGAGCCCGCTCTCCCTCCGCGCTAGGCTGCTTGATCCACCCGGTTACAGGAGGAGGGCTTCGGGCCCAAGTATTTTACCAAATGGCAATTTCCGCTCGTGTCTTTCGGCGTAAACATGTTGTTGTGTAGCTTCCTCCCCCGTTGCCGAGGTCGAAGCGTCGGTGACAAGCCTCGGCCCCGAGCAACGATTGTGATGGAAGAAGCTTATATGTTCGACTCTGAACAGCAATGGAGAATCAGGATATACGTACGGTACTTGCAAATATGGCTCATTAATAAAATGTACAATAAATAATACGAACTGATAACAGAATGAATAATAAGAACTGATAACGGAAATAAAATGTAAATTTATCGAAGGAGAAGGACTATGGAAAACGATATTTAAGAAATCCTATTAGACAAGCTGTTGTAAATGAATTACGAGAAAAAGATGTGATAAAATATAGAGTTGAAATGGCAGAGAAATTAATGCAGAATGATGATAATATAGAATCTCCGCATTTATTTGATGCAAATGTTTTACGGGTTGCCAAATATGAAATTAAAGAGAAAGATTACTTTTATAAAGATCCAATAAAAGCTTTGGAAATTATGCAATTAGGTCCATTAAAGAATGTTATTCATGCTATTGGCTTAAATCCATGCATTATTGGTCAAACTATCAATTGAATGTGTATAGAACATATTCGAAAGATGAGCTTGCATTATATCTACATTGACGTTACTGAGACCATTATAAGAAAGGTGAAAAGACCTGACCAATCAAAAACAAAACATATATTTTTATATAATTATGTCGTTAATTCTGAAAATGATCTTTTTTCAGTAACACAAATGTTGTCTGAAAGTCAAAATACAAATGCAATTCAGTATTGGCTGATAGAATGGAGGCGATCCGGCGCACTACGACCACGTGAAGTTGTATACGCAATACACGTGCATTATTAAACACAGCTGTAAGAAGTTTTACTACTTATTTTACGCTTGAGGAATATGCAGATGCTTGTAAAGAAGAAGATACCTGCTTGCTACATACGTATCGATGTAGCACATTTTATTAAAAAATATGCAGATGGAGAATTTTTTCAAAAATCACATACACGCATAAAACAATTTTATTTACAAGCAACGGGACAATTAATTTTACGTCGAGATATTGAGACTGCAAGTGAAATATTAAAAAGAATTTTAATTATTACTCAAAGAGAGACAGAAGGTAACACAAGAGAAAATAAAAAAATACTATGTGAAGAATATAAAATTAAAATAAAAAATCTTTTTAGCCAATATTTTGAAAATTCTGAAGATGTAATTAATGATAGTGCAAAACAGTATAATGATATAGAAGACAAAGAAGAAAACAATATTATACATAATAAATGGAGTCATTAGGCAGAAAGCATAAATGATAAAATTAAAATTTTATTGGCTGATAACGAAGGAAATAGGAAAAATGTTCATTATTAACCAGAATTAGCTGATTATCTTATAAAAGATATTAAATTACTGCCTTTATGGTCTTGCGTATGCTAAGATAACTTTGGATATGGTAAAATACCTGCCAGCAGTGCTTCTGTAGAAAGTGATTTTAATATAATAAAAAATATTATGTTAAAAACAGAGAAAACCCCAGTAGGTATACTAGGGGGATTCTACATCAAATGTAGGTCAAGGTCAAGGGTGTCTCTTATACACATCT